AACACACGAATTCGCATCAAAAAACAAGGCTGCGCCCACCCCCCCAACCTCTTCCCGCGCCACGAAATCTGCACATAGTATCCTTATTTCCTGGTCGGCCACAAAGTCTTATTTTAAACAGGACTCCTGCTGCACGTTAACCTGCCTCTGTTCCGAAATTGATGTCCCTGATCCCGTGGACTCGAGTCCCCCTGTGGGAGTGAGCTTCTGGTGGCTTTTGTTGGGCTTCTCCGCCTTCTTGGCTTTTGGGGGCTTTTAGCATAGGGTTCCGTCTGCTGGCTTTGTGGTCATCTCGTTTTAGGTGCTTCAATGGTTTTCACGGCGATTTCAATTTATATACGTATATTTGAATGCCCCAAAGGCTTGCAATACCAACAATGCACATACAAACGAGCCCAAGACTGCTGCAAATATCAGCAGGTCAAAAACTCACACGCCCAAAACGTTGCCAATACCAGCAGGCCCCTGATCCGAAGCAAGCTGAAAGGCACAATCCTTTTGTTGTCCTGAAACGATGGTTTCTCATCAGACAGGGTGTCTATGAGGCCAAGATGAATGGATTCCACCAAACATGTGGGCCCACGGGTTGACCTGTTTGGGTGGACGGGTTAGGATTCTGGCTTGCCACCAAGGCCGCCATGCGCACCTTGACGGATTTTGGCCGCTGCTCGCAGGGAGGCGCGGCACAGTAGAACACCTACAGTGGCTTTTGATTGGTATTTTCCGAAACTATATATCCAAACAGTATCACAATACAAACTTTCCCACTTGCAGGTGCGCTTCTTCAGGTCATGACACCGTTTTGGACACTAGTGCTAGGGCATTCTCGTCGTGAAGTTACAGAATACGGCTTTTTCATCGTGGCGGTAACAGCAAGGTCCATACACCTTGCGACAAGTCTATGAGGAGGTGGAGGCTGCGGAAGTTCCGTGATCATCATGTACAATAGTGGGATACTATTGTTCCTTCGGGGCTTCAAGAGTCCAGCTCACTTGGTTTAAATCCCAGGTGGTTCCAGTGAGGATTTTTCAGATCCATCTGTTTCAGTCAGCGAACTTGGCCTGTGCCAGGCGGATATTCAGCACAGGCCACCAGTAGACGTGCCTTCGCAGCAAAGTAACTGTCGTCAGCGCTTGGACCTTCGGATGGAGACGCACCTCAGGTGCGCGCGGTCGCTGGAAAGCTGGGCCCGGAGCTCCTAGGGCCCGGAGTCTCAGTCTCACATGTAAAAGCACGAGGAGCGGTGACCGACTCAGAGTCGGTGACGAGTAACAGTCATGTGCAAAGCAAGTCGGAAACATCCTCAGGAAGAATCACTATTGGTCAATATTGGTCACCTTTTCTGCATGCAACTGCGACATGCCAGGCCTGGTGCCACGCTGGCACGCCGAAACTTGCCCTTTGCACATCCGCAGAGGCTGACATTCAGCGAAGAAGGAAGGTGCTGACAATTCTGCTTAGTTCAACGATGTTACAGTATGTAAAAGTTAACAGCCAAGAATGATCGTTGCACCATGTTGCACCCTAAATGAGAGGGGACTCTGCGTGCAACCGAGCCAGGCTGGCCACCGAATCCATAGAGGTCACTGGTGCGACCTTGACCGCTCGGACACATAGATGTCTTTAGGTCTTTGAATGTCTTTGGAGTGTGGGAGTTCCTCTTTGAGCATGCTGAGGCGTGCAACAACATCTTCAGATTTGCCATTTTACACCAACAAAAGCCGCTCTTCAAAGCTGACAGCGGTGCCATCATCTATTTCGACAGGCCAAACGAGTGCCTTTGATCAGGGAGGGACACACGTTTAGCACAAATTGGAGAGTCAAACCACCCTGATAAGCTGTGTGCCCACCCAAACCACTTGGAGAGCTGATCCCCTTTGAAGCCTCGTTCGCGGTCAGATTCTGGAAGATGAATGACAACTTTAACACAAACTCGTGGCTGCCTGCAGCTCAGAGATTTTCAATCGACGTAGATGTAGTACCGCGGTCAAAAGGGAGGGTTACCAAACGGGCCCTGTTTTGGAAAGACGTGTTGCAAATAAGATCAGGCAAAGTGGCGAAGCTGTTGACAAAAAGAGGGACTGTGAAAAGAATGCACACAAGTGAAAAGAATACACATGTTCATTTGGTGCTTGAAAGAAGGTAGCTGTGTGAGGCCCAGAACAGACTTCTTGCAAACAATGATTCACCTCATGCAATCTCTGGGCTGTTGAACTTTATGCTTTACAGCTTTAGGTTTGAAGTTTGACGGGGACGTTTACTGAAGGAAAGGAGGGCTGGTAGGTTTTTGAATGCTTGTCATGCTTAGATTGAGCCGGCTGGTTCCCATGTGTCCGAACTTCCCAGAAGCTCAGCCCATCAGGTACAGCCCAGTCTCGTCAAAAAGCAAAAGTACTTTGCCTCCGGAAGGCAAATGGACGGTGCAGGGGTCGTGGCCTTGGGTTTGGCTGCCAGTAACGAGCAAGGTGTGAATTGGCTGACTTGTTGGTACGGCGTCAGGTCACTTGGAGCAACGATTGGCGCTGTACCAACCTCAATCTCATGGAGGATCAGTTTCGACACGGTAAAGATGAAGGGCTGGATGGCCAAACCAGCCCAGCTTTGCTCTTTGTTTTGGCTTGACCCCCACTACTGAGTCCCAACATGATAAGTTTGAAAGAAGGCTGGTGTAGCTATGCAGCCCAAGCAAAGTTCACGCCACTAAGAATCCCCCAGAGGGTAGTAGCATGGTGGCTGTTTGCGACAGAAAGAGCTGCTTGAGGTTGTTTGATCAATGGAATATCGTCTTAGGAGCAAGGACGCTACTAGGGGCTCCTGGCATCGCTACTAGGAACAAGAAGCTACTAGGGGCTCCTGGCCTTACTACTAGGAGCAAGGATGCTACTATATCGTCTTATATAGTGCTCCAAAGTGTTTGACACTCCGAGCTCATCGGCTGATGGAGAACCGGAATCCGCTCCCAAAGGCTCCGACCTTGAAAATGCCCGAGCCAAAACGAGGTCAGGCCGCTGAGGTTTTCAGATTTGGACCGACTTTTGGGGGACGTGCTTTGGAGGGCTCTTAGAACAATGTTCGCTACTAGGGGCTCCTGGCATCGCTACTAGGAGCAAGGACGCTACTAGGGGCTCCTGGCCGTACTACTAGCAGCAATGTTCGCTACTAGGAACAAGAAGCTACTAGGTTGGAGGAACAAAGGTGGAGCATGATGAGATATGATGAGCATATATGAGCATGGCACTCTTGTGGGGTCTGAAGGGAACCACTTTTGAACCGACATCACGGTCTCACTCTGTGGCACGGCTCGAGTGACTCATCAGCGGCAGGGGCTGTTTGTACAAGGTGAGAGCCGAGAGTCATCCCAAAGTCGGTGCCCAGTGGTCTTGGCTTTTCCAAGGGATCATGATCGGATGTGTCACAGCATGTACTTTTGGACAACTACTGGGGGGAGCAGTGGCAACTGTTTGACTCTGCCCACATGTTCAGAGAAGTGACTCGAACATCACCAAAACAGACAGAGACAGATACTTCGTACATATGATGCGGTCAGATACCCCTTAGAATCCTTAGATACCCCTTGGTGCAAATTGCGATACGCCCGTCACCTGGTCAGGCACGCAGAGTTCCGTGGCGTGAGGGGCTCTCAGCGACCAATCATCTTCGTCGACCCGATCGACCGGATCGACCGGATCGACCGGATCGACGATCACGGAGACGATCTCATGAAAACATTGAGTTGGAGGTGGAAAGGTTTTTTTTCCAGGTCAGGCCGAAAGGCTTTTTTTTGAGGACCGAACAGTAAGCACGGTTCACAGGTCCACGTCTCTCGCTTGCCCTGGAGACCATGTTGACCTCATTTTGCTGGCTTTGCTTGGCAGAAAATCCTACGGACAACACACTTTCATGAGATACAAGTCTTTACTGGACCGAACCCCTTCATCTCGTCTCGTCTCAGCTCATCTCGCTGTCGGGCGTCTCGCGACACAGGTCAGAGCGAGCTCGTAGTACCGGGACTGGGGAAAGCTGCAAACGAGTTGGGACGCTGCGAAAGCTTCCATCGACAAAAAACGGACAATGACAATGTCATGCTTAACATGTCAATGCATTTGTTGTTCACTGTGTTCATGACTATAGTTTTGGATGCAACTCAGAAGCATCTTCCTTTAGGACCTTTAGGATACTTTGCGGGGCCTCTTGTCACAGACCTGGCATGCCCTAACCTCCTACTGTAAATATTCAATTTGATAGATATTGGACAGCTTCAGGCACGCAATGATAGGTGCTTTTTTTGTATGATACAAATGTGAAAGTGCAGCAAACATTGGAGAGTATTCTGAATAACTTTGTAGTTAGTGAGATGTTCTGAGTAGTCCAGCGATTCTAGCTTGCCTTTCGCAGAAAATATGCTCCACGCCTTCTGGGGGTGTTGGCTTCAGTTTTGCCTGAGCCCATGCCTCCACCGTTCCTTTAGGAGCCTTCCTTATTGCACTGCTTGACAGCCCGGCTTGTTTGCATAGAGTGCTTGCAGAAATGAACTGGGTGGCATTCCCATTGCAAGAACAGTCCTAGATCCACAGGTTCCAGAGAGGGGTTGTGCAGAATCGGAGAAGGCCATGGATGCCACATTGAACCCTGAAAGACCCTATATAATTAGTTGCTTCTATCATCTTCTATCTCTATCCATCATATTTAGGACCAGAACGTAGAGCTTGACAAAACATGAAATCACGAGCCCTATACCCAATTTGCACTTTGTATCCATACCTGTCCATATGTGGAAACAGGTATCAGACTCTCGATCAGACATAGACATGACCTTTTCTTAGCCGCCACAAACATATTACTGTAAAGAGAGGATATGGATGTTGGTATATATGTATTACTTATATATCTTGCTCGAATAGTAGAGGAAATGACAGTCAATCTCAACCCTCAGTCATGTAAGCAGAGCTGACAGTCAACATTTTCGCACTGCCCCCATGTAGCTGGGTGGCGTGAGAAGCATGGCCGCCTGTGAGGAGGACCAGAAAGAAACTACAACACGACCTCGCAAAATGTGAATGAATGACCTTGGACGTTGGAAACGGATTTTGTGAGGGCGACTGAATGACCATTGGAGTCCTCTTGGTCGCTACAGTCGCTGCGCGCGCGTGCGATCTCGCAGGGGCCGGTGGAGCTGCAGTCGCCCTTCCTGGAGATGCCGGAGCTGCCGGAGCTCTTTGCGGCTCTGGGCGAAGGTATGGGAGGTCCACCACCTGGGATCCCTGCAGCACTCTGGGGCAGCATGTGCAAAAAGCGCCCGGTTCTTAGTCTTTTCAATGAACCAACAGCTCAAATCAGCTCAATTCACCATCATCAGACCAAGGCTTGCAAGATATGCATGAAAGCAATCATCTCACGGTGTCAGAGCGCGAGGAGCATTTGACCAAGAGGCCATGCATCGTGCCGCCTTTTCGGTGCCGGCGGATGCCATAAACTCCAACCTAAGAGCGGAGGTAGATACTGTAGAACATGATGGCCAAAGCTTTCCTTAGGGTTGCTAGCTGAGCTGCAGCTGGACAACATGGTAGTTGGTGACTCGTGCACCTTTGTGATGAGGCAATTCCACGTGCCTGGCCGGGGCAAGAGAACCTTAACGTTGCAGGAGGATCCGACAGGCGTGGATGTGAGTCTTTGGACATCGCCAGGCATTGTAGGCAATTTTCTATTTCTATGATCTTCTATGCTGGCTGTTTTGAGCCACCACTTTTGGTTTTTGCATTCATGCATGCCAGCTGGCTGAAGATCTGACAGGCAAGTTCGGAGGTTCGTGTGGCTCGGGCACGGTTCTGTGGCCAGCAGCAATGGCTTTGGTCGAGCATTTAGATGGGGAGGCCGGACTCGACGAATCGATGCGGTGCGACGAAGCCGGCCAAGGGATCTTTGGGCCGACGAAGAACGTGATTCCTTCGACGATACAGAATGATACAGACATCGACATCGACACTGCCGAACACCGACTGCTTCAGGTGGAGAAGAGTTGCTTGAACTGCCGAGTCCTGGAGCTTGGCGCCGGCGTTGGTGCCGTGGGCCTCTTCTTAGCACTCTTCAAAGGCTGCGAGGTGTGGCTCACCGAGGCGCCGGACCGAGCGACCGCTTGGACCACCGGACAGACGGGCGCCCGAACAGCGCCCGCCTCAGGCGCCCGAACAGCTACCGCTACTGGTGCGGAATGTGAATGAGAATTCGCCAGATGGACTGGACCTGCAGGCGATTCTTTTTTGAGCTTTCTACAGCTGACAATTCTTCTAGCTAGGTCATTCGCGTGACAGCTGCAGGTTGCACCTCTCAAGTGGGGTGACAAAGAGGCACTTGAGCAGCTTGCAGCTCTTGGACGCTCGGTTTGTGGATGCTGGACGATGTGGCCCACCTTTGGCAAATATTTCTGGCCCAATCCAGAGTGAAATGACTTGGCATTTACGCGGATTTACACTCTTGCTGTTTTCTTGCCAAGCTGAATTGCGCCTTGTGCATAGGGCCAACGTTAAGCTCTGCGGCCTGTCCTGGCCAAACGTATCCTGCTTTTGCATCCAAGGCCGTTTTGACATGATTGTTGGGAGCGATGTGACTTACCGTCCGGAGTGTCTCAGCCACTTTGATGCACAGCAGGAAATACTGAGCTAAATGTTGTGAGTTTACACCAAGCGCCTTTGGGATCAACACGAAAGGATCATTCCGCGTTCCAAGTTCCAGTGATTTCCATGAAACTGACACGGGCTAACTGGTAAGGTGATTTGCTGAGCACCGCTCACCAGCTCATGTCCCCACAGGGGCGCTTTTTTTCTCAGCCTTCAAGACCGGCCAGGTGGGACTTGGTGGATGACCTTGACTTGACCTTAACTCCACTGGTAATAATAAGGATTCCGGATGGTGATAAGGATGTTATACATGTGTCCTAGTAGCTACGAACGGAGCAAAGGGTATCGCTACGAACGGAGCAAGGACGCTACGAACGGGGCTCCTGGCCATACTACTCGGAGCAAAGACGCTACGAACGGAGCTTTTGTAAAGGACCATGTATACTGGACGTTTTGTCAAGGACCATCCATGTGGACCACCAGAAGGACTGGACCTTGGGGCCTTTTGGAGTCGAAGATTTGGTCCACGAGACCAAGGTTCACCAATTTGCCCACTTCGACAAGGTGACAAACACACACAACATATGGTTGGAACATCCATCCACACCCATCGATGTTTCTGCCTCCGACCTTCATGTGCTTCGCCCGCTTCACGGCAGGTGAAGCGGAACATCTTGAAGCAGCGCTCAAAACGAGCTCCCTTCAGATACGCGGCGAGGCCCTTCGCCGAAAGGCAAAGCTCCAAGGCGGAATGGGTTTCTAAAGTCGAGCGATTATTTGCGGAGAGACACGACATGTTCATTCACAAGCCACCTTTTGGGCAGGAGCAGAGGAAGTCTGAGCCCTAGCAGTAACGTGCAGTCCATTGAAAGCACGATCGTTTGAAGGCGCTCGTATGCGCTTGTAATAACCAACTCTGTGTTAGTTGATTCGAGTTCCTTAGGCTCTGGCTGCTTTGGTGGAGGGAAGGATGGCCATTGGCGCCTCTCTCTCTCTCTCTTTGTGTGTGCACATACATAATTCACCATTCACCATGCCATCCCACACCTTTGGCCATCTCAAGTTCAAAAGGGGGGACAAAATCTGTATATATACTTGATGGTTTCTTTCTCCAACCTGTTCAAGCCAAGGTTTTGTGGTTCTCAGAGGTGTTTCGAACCAGTGGCATGTTGAATAGACAGCTCCCCCACGGCTCCTGCGGCTCCTGCGGCTCCGTCTCAGGTCTCTGTACTGATTTTTGAGCTTTGTCACGTTGGTGCTGAGCCACGGGTGGTGAGGCACGCCCTGCCTTTCTGAAGGATTTGATTGCCAGCCACCAGTCTGTTACTGTTACTTGTCGAGACCGATTCGCCGATTCCTTTTGGGCTCTAGCAAGCATTCCCGTTCCTTTTCCTGGCCAGCATCTGCTATTTGGGCAGTCTGGAAGGTCAGGTCTGGGAGTGCAGATTTGATCCGGAAGCGCGATGCCAGAGTTGTCTGTCAAATGGGTGCACCAGAGTGAGTCGATCTGTCATACTGTTGCTGAAAGGATAGGAATCTGCGCAGAATCCCTTGAGGACGTCATTCTGTGTCGCCTAAACCCTAAACCTGACTGAGCCGAGCGGGCCAAGCGCGGGCCAAACGCGGGCCTATCGCGCGTTAGGCAATGCTTCGCCTTGTCATTTCGTTCTTGGTGGCCACCAGTGCAGCTGCCATCTGGCCCAAGCCGCGCTTGTTCAGGCGAGGGGGTGGGTGGGAGGGGGTCTCGCAGTTTGAGCAGCTCACAAGACATGGCAACACAACACCAGAAGCCAGGGATAGAATTTAGCTACGTTTATACTGGACTCTAAAGTTCCGTCGAGAGGAGATAGGGTTCCAATTTCTAAGCTGCAGGAATGGCACCACCACGATTGCTTTGAACCCTCAGTCTTACAGCTCCTTGATTGCAAGCAGGGTCATTTCTGATTTGGAGAGCTAGTGGGAAGGTCAAGACGCCCAATGATTTGGTCAAGTCAAGACCACCCCTTTTGGCTCACCGGCTGAGCTGGATGTGAGGCTTCCAAGCTGTGACCTCCACCCCGGAGCTGCAAGATGCTTTCCAGCGCCTTGGATGTGCAATTCGAAGTCTGAAGTGTCCGACAATCCTCAAGGCCGTTATGGCTCGCGTCAGTCCTGACAACCTACAGGCGGTACAAGTCCATCTTCTTTCCGCATGCATCTACACCTGCCAAGACGGCTGTCGACTGTGGATTGGTGGTTGACATATTAGCGGCTCGGCTGCTGGGTGACGAGTTGTCCGACCAGATTGGCATCTTTGGCTTGCCAGACATAGTTTCAGGGTTTGGACTAGAATGACAGGATGGCTGATTAGTAACACAATGACAATTGGGTAGTTAGGCAGTTGGCAACCCTGCTAGTGTTTCTCGGCATGTTTTCTGATTTGAAAGGACACCACAAGTGCTCTGCAACTGGGCGTTGACGAGTCCTACACTCTGGAGATGTGGATGGGGTGATTTGTTGCTTTGGTTGTCGGGAGATGCTATTCTCAATTGTGGTGTCTGTGGATATATAATGATATACAAATATATAATAGACATACATGTACTGTATATTATATATAATTATGTACGTTTTGTTTCGACGGGCTCATAATCTGTTGCAGTTGATGCCAACCAATGCCTGCTGCTGTCCGGGTCTCTGCCGGGCAGGACGTGGACCTCGATGGCATCACGGTCATTGCAGCCAAGACTGTTTGGGGAGCCCTCCATGGCTTGGAGACGATGTCCCAGCTCATTGAATTCAATTTCAAAACAGGCCATGGCCGCCCATGGACGGCTAGATGGGACAGCGTTACTCGTTTTGCTGGGGATGGCCCGGTGGCAGTGCAGTTTGGTGTTAGAAAGTGACCCTTGAAAAGTGTGTTCTGAAGTGACCCTGCTACACCGCCGTTTGATTTGGCCTCTCCCTCTGCGCGTTCAAGAACAGTTCTGATGATGGCACGGTTTGCACGTTCTAGGCCAATATTCAGTCTCTGGCATCCCAGTGCATATTGAAGACAAACCTCGTTTCCAGCATCTTGGCAGTACCTGTGAAAGCACACCTGACTGATTGCATGTTGATGTGAACCAAGGGCTGACTCTTAGACTCTTAGATTGTCCGAACTCTTGAGATCTCGAAAAAGCGATCGAGGCATCGTGGGCTTTTGATCGACTCTGGTCGCCATTTTGAGCCTATGGTACACGTGAAGGCCATGATTGACTCCATGACTTATGCCAAGCTAAACGTGCTTCACTGGCACCTCACGGAGGAGGGAGAACGATCGACGGGCGACGCAGGACGTGTCCAAAATGGTTTGACCATGTTGGACCACTGATGCACCGCTGAGCGCTCAAATAGTAGCAATGGCCTCCAACCTACTAGCGATGGCCTCCAACCTAAGAGCGATGGCCTCACACCTGATAGCCATGGCCTCCAACCTAATAGAGATGGCCTAAAACCTGGCCTCCAACCTAAGAGGGATGGCCTCCAAAATAATAGAGATGGCCTCCAACCTACTAGTTACTAGCGATGGCCTCCAACCTACTAGCGATGGCCTCCAACCTACCGGCGACGGCCTCCAACCTAAGAGGGATGGCCTCCAACTTAATAGCAATTTTGCGCATGATGTGACTGATGCAATCCACATTTACATTAGCTGTATCCTGGACGTGATGCCCTTGTACCTTTGTTGGGTACCACGGTAGGATGTTGCGCTGGAGGTTGATATGGTACAATCCAAAACATTCAATCCTCTTCCTGACATGCAGTAGCTTGCCCATCCTTCGGCACGAGGCACTGGCACTTGGTACATAGGTTGCTTCCAGCCGTGGCAAGGACGAGTCCTTTCCCATTGCAAGCCGCGTATTCCCAGAGCTGCCGGAGAAGGGTGCTTTCAACGACTTTGAACAGCATCCTGGCAGGAAACCTATGTCAGGTTGGGTGTAGAGATTTCTTGAAGTTGCAGCTGGAACGGGGAAAATGAAGACTTCCTTGCAGAATCCAACTGTAGGAAGTCATGACGTTTCCGGAAATGCCAGCCGCGAGCTAATACTAGATTCGCAATCTTTTTTTGGATGCATTTTAGGGTTAACATACTATGAATGATCCAACAGGTGTCATGTTGGATGTCACATTTTAAAATGATACCTTCAATGCGTAAAGTCCTATGTTACAATGGGGGAAGGGTTTGTTTCACAAGAAACTGATTAATGCGAAGTCGGCAGGACATACCTTTTATCCTGCTTGGTTGTTAAAAAGCCAAGCGCATTTCCCTGAAAGGGCCATCAGGAAGTGACTGGTGAACAGTTTGATGAAGTAGGTTGAACCACGACCTGAAATTTGGTTCCCAGAGACACGACCTTGGGAACAGCGCTTGACTGTTGACTCTCTACCTTTTGCGTTTGACGGCTGCTTCTTCTCTGGGAGGTGTTGAGAGAGAGAGAGGGGAGAAAACAACGAGAGAGAGCGCAGACAAACTTCAAGCAAGGACTTTCTGGGACTTGTTGAAGTCTGCGTTATTTTTTGTGGGCGGTACAACAGATCTGACAAAGCGAGGACTTTCACTAGTGCCTTGATTTAGAGATAAGCACACAACCACTAGGATGCAGCAAGACAGTCTCAGTTGTAAAGAAGGACAGTAAAAACGATGCTTGGGCTATGTCACCTGTTCATGATGGAAATGACAAAAACCATCAAGTACAACTTGTAGAAAGTGTGAGTGTTTCTACTCTTCGGAGTGGCCAAACTTTCACTCAAGTGACGAAGTGTGAAATTGGATGAAACCCACATGTACACCTGGGCGTTGTGTGGAGGTACACCTGGGAAGACATCGTTGATGTGGTGGAGACCTTCGGCTGAAAATCCGTTCAATCCATCTCCGCTGTATGTCCTTGGGATTTCGATCTCTCGGTGGCCCTTGCGGAGCCTGCGGAGTCTGTGGGATGATCAGTCTACATCGACAAACACAACATGTTTTGACGCAGTCTAAGCAACTGATCCAATACTTTGCAAGGTATGCCCGTCGTCGTGGGATCCGCGTGATTCCAGAGTTTGATATGCCGGGACATTCCTCTTCCTGGAGGACTGCCCTTCTTTGCTGCAGCGCATGTGCTTGACGCGATTCCGATTTCGTCCTTTTGTGGCCAGCGATGAAGCCCGGACCGTCCGACCGACCGTTTCATTCTTTGGGGAGGAAATCACATCCCGAAGTTTTTTGCTGAAGGTGCCGTGACCAACTTTGGACATGACAGTGACGAGGAGTCGGCCTCAAACCAATTCGAATCTGCAATGTACACCTCTAGTAGTATGGCCAGGAGCCCCTAGTAGCGTCCTTGCTCCAAGTAGTAAGGCGAGGAGCCCCTAGTAGCTTCTTGCCATACACCGTACCTCAATATAACTTTGTGTGTAAGCCAGAGTGGACACATCATGACTGGTTCCAGAAACTCAAGACATGTCAAGACGGAAGCTTTGCCGTGTTGGGTTGTTGGGCAGGTTGTCTGAGCGAGTCCTCCCGCGGGGCCTTTGACCCTGCGAAGAATGCAACCTTTGAATTGTTGGAGGCTGCGAAAGGATGTGTTCGTTATAAATAAGGAGTTGCTTCCCAGGAACCACGCTGGAATCAGCAGGGAATTGCTTGTTCGCAGGACATGAACGTGGTTATATAATGTGTTATAATGTTACTATACTGTATAGATTCGGTCCGTCTTTTCCAGGCATTGTATGTTGGCAAGCCTGACATGGCACAGACAGACATGGTCAGACATGGTCACATTTCAGCAATGATGCACACGGCGCTATGTCGAGCACCAAAAGTATTCATGTCTCAAGTCGACCTGCCAGGCAGCCTTGCAGGACTGGAGCAAAATGTTCGTGGATGGCTTTCTGCACCTGGGGAGCGACGAGGTGCCAGCCAATTGCTGGAACAACAGCAAGGACATCGCTTGGATGAGCCTTGGTGGCAGGGCCTCTTTGTTGTTTGGCCTTTCCCAGAGAGCACCCATTTCATTTAGAATTTTGTTTGAAGTCTTTAAACGCTGCTAGAAGAGTTGACTTCCAATCGGAGCCAGTTGTTGGATCAGTTAAAGTGCGCGATTGGCACTGTATTGTGGAGAACATTCCTCGTGCCCGACCAAGCTTGTGATCCGTTGGTTCGAACGGCTACTATCCGCCTCTGACCAGCTAGGAAGACCATGGGCTTCTCCAACTCCTCGGAGGTCCGGCGTCTCAGTTATGGCTTTCGGACAACAGAGAGAAGGGGCCACCTTCAGGACCCCAAACCTCAGGTTTTCAACTACTTTGTGAACAAAATGGTGAACATTAGCAAGAAGTTGGGCAGGGAGACCATTCTTTGGGATGTGCCTCGGCTGCACAAGCGTGCGGAAATGGCCGTTTGGTGGCATGTCAGCATTTGAGCAGTCCAAGGAAGCATTCCTTTCGGCGAAGCCACCACAGGACAAGCAGATGTTGCAGAGGTTTGAGCAAAACTGCCTGACATGTGTGACGCCTTGGGTGGGAACACAACATGACAATACATGAAATCACAGGCTTGGGCAGCGGCAGCCCATGTAGCTAGTAGGTGGATCCTTTGATACGAGTTTTAGCAAACGCTTCCCCAGCTGCTTTTCCCGAGTGCACTAAAGATAACAAATCACCATTCGCACCATTTGTCTCTCCTGGCCAGGAGGCCGTGATTCAGAACTGGCATGATGCATCCCTTCTTCAGAAGATCGTAGATGCTGGTCTCTCGTATGCAGGTTGGCCAGTTCATGCCTTTTGGGTCTCCGACCGAAACGCATCGAGTCGGACGGGACCATCGAGTCCGTCGAGACCGAGTCGAGCTGTGCCACGTGTGGGGCTCTTCGCATCCTGTGAGGAGCCCCTACAGTAATAGCGTCCGATCGCTCTAGTAGCGATGCCAGGAGCCCTAGTAGCGTTCTTGCTCCTAGTAGTAAGGCCAGGAGCCCCTAGTAGCGTTCTTGCTCCTAGTAGTAAGGCCAGGAGCCCTAGTAGCGTTCTTGCTCCTAGTAGTGAGGCCAAGGAGCCCCTCGCAGCGTTCTTGCTCCTAGTAGTGAGGTTACAGGGCTGTGTTCTCCTCCAATGGTGGCTACACAAATGGCTGCTCGGCAGAACCTTTGGATCAACTTCCGCCGTTTTAGAGTATCTGTTGCACAGGTGTAGATGTGCAGGGGTTTCTCAATCATGATCCATGAAAGCCGTTCTCCACACGGATTCAGGATGGTACCTTGATGGTTTGAAAGCCACATGGCAGAACATGTATGCGGCTTGACTGAAACACTGGAAGGTTTGCAAGATCGGCTTTTCTGCTACTCAGCTTCGCAAGTCCAAACGATCAGGTCTTGGAGCCTTTGAACAACATCAGTGCGGAGAAAGCTCACTTGGTGCTGGGAGGTGAAGGCTGCATGTGGGGCGAGCACGTCGAGCCTTGGCAGCCCAGCTCGTTCTCCGCCCGGTGAACGAGTTCAACTCGTGGAACTTACTTCACACTTGGCAGTGATCCTTCCACTTGTATAACAGCTTCACTTGAAAGCTAATTGGTAGAGAAGGCAGATGAAAACAGCACTGTCTCCATGATTCATTGCCAGACTTCCAGGCACCACGTGAAGACGAACATCAGACGTACACATACTTCACGTTCCAACTTAGTACTTACTAGTATCTTGGTTCTTGAAGCGCTGCGTTTTGGACTCCTCACCGGGATCCTTCGGATCCTTCCCTTTTTTTGATTTGGTCCCGTGTTTTGTCTGTTTCACAGGACCCCTCCGACTTCGAGTTCACCGTGTGGCCCCGCCTCGCAGCCATTGCCGAGCGCCTCTGGAGCGATCGTGAGGTGAATTCTACCGCGGAGGCTCAGCCGAGGTTGGAAACCTTCAGGCGCCTTCCGCGACCAGGGAGCGCCCGGGGGGGGAGCGCAGCAGGTGCGCGCTAATCTAAATAGAACGCGTGGCGAGGGTTGGGGATTGGGTGGATGGATCGTCTCAGCTCTTTTTTTGCAATCCCATTCCACTTGAACGATCTGGAAATCCAATCGCACTTTTTGGTGTTTCTGTGTTCAGGCTCTCTTGGAAGCTTGAGGTCTTTCTCTTGAGCTCGTGGAAATGAAGTCATTGGTTTTCACTCCACCCCTTGACCATTCCCAGCGTCCAGGTGTCGCCTGTTGTCCCGTGGGGTGCACACTGGGATCGTGGGTGGGAGCGGCCGCGGCACACCACCGGGTCCTGGATCATGCACGCAGCAGGGGACATCCGAGGCAGGGGAATAGGGTCTGAGTACAGCACTGAGCACAGATTCAATCACAAGGGATCAATATACCCAGTGTATTTGCTGGTCTTTGACAGAAACAGCCATACCAAGACGTTGGAGTATCTGTGAGGGACTAGATCCGCAGTACGCAAGAATACATGCAGAGAATGTCTCTATTTTTAGGGTAATGATACTGCTTTGGAACCTAGCAGACTGCAACTGCAAGTCAGAGAAGAAATCTTCATCTGAAGTTGTTGCACCACGAAAGCCAATGAAAACCAAACTTTGGACCAGGAGCAGATTTTCGTCTGAAGTTCGGATAGGACCGTTGCGGGAGAGACTTTCCTTGGGACTGACAGTGAAGTCAAGATTCAAGATTCGGAGATAGCGCTGATCAAATGCAGTGAATGGAAACCATGCATGGAACCAGAACCATAATATCAACTTTTTGGTTGCCATGTTTACAGCAGCTTTGCATGCAGCCAGTGAGTGTCAGGGCGGGGTGATAGACCATTTTGATCCAACAACTTTGGAAGGAAAGACACGTCGAGGATTGTCCATCAGCATGAGGAGGTCAATTTTGCGCAGCAGCAGCAGCGCTGCGGAGCTGCGCAAGCGTTCAGAGCAGTTGTGGAAAAGGATGTTGCAGCTATCATTTGTAGTCATTTGTGGGCTGGACACAGTGAGACCGTTTAAAGGACAACACCAAGTACTTCGTGTGTACATTGAGGGTTTTGGATCTTTCAACCCTCCGCTGGTCAAATGAATCCTTGTCCTCGGTGTGCAGGCCTCCTCAAGCAACAGGAGATGTCGAGGCACGTGGGGTCTCCAAAGACCTGCGTCGAGCTGTCTAGCTAGCTCCAAGAGATTCTATACTTCCAAAACACTTTTGACAACCTGCCCAAACCCAATCAATACAATGATCTCGGCGCATATTCAATGATTCTTTTTACGGGAAGCCTGTTCTGCGATATCGGAGGTTCTGCATGGTGCTACTAAGTTCTTGGAACCTAGGAAGGCAGATACACCTGTGAAGCTTCAGCATAGCAAGCCTCTTGTCATTGTTGATGGTCGCCAAATGTGTTAGCAACATCCCTGAAAGGTACAATTTCTTGTGGAATCATGTGAGCTAAGCTCGTAGTAAAGAGGTCGTGATTTTCTGGAATTGGGCTAAAACCTGCAAAAGCGATAGGACCCCCTCAAAAGCGAACCTTGCTGAATCATGTCCTCTACTTGACCGTACGTTTTGGCCGACGCTCATGTGTCGATATGTGTCGAACTGAGTCACTGATGCATGCGGCATTCTCTGGTTCTCCTTGCTTCCTCAGGAGGAGTTCTTCCGGCTGACGGGCATCAGGTGCGTGTGCGTGACACGCACCCAACTTAAGTTTCCCTAAAGCTATGGGGACCAAATGAATAGTGCGAGCGCTTCTTCAAGGAAGCTCGTGAGCTATCCTGTGTCCAGTTAGCGTAGTAGTCAGGTACCAGCTACCTCTCCCTTACCCAATTAAGTAGGCGCCTACTTAATTAAGTAGGGAGGAGGGGAAATGGGCCGCCTGGTTTGGAATGGAAAGGTCCCTATTTAGCCAGAGTTTTTGTGCATCAACTTTACATGTTGTCGGCAATGCCGGTTTCCACGAACAGCATCAACCTTGCATCGGATTGTGCAATGCTTGAGGGTGTTTTCCACTGGCTTGCTCAGAGTGGATGTCCAGGCCCGATCCTGTGGTGTTGCCCAAGCGTGACAAGCCAGCTGTGCCGGGCTTGGGCATTTGAGATGCGCCGAAAGATGCTGTCATGCTTGTTGGAGCTCATTTTGTGAGAACACCAAGAAAGGGGGATTTCGTTGGTGAACTGGTAACGACAAAATTGGCAAAGGTGTCGAGCA